ACCCTTCTCAAACACACTAACATCTTTTCCACAACCACGAGATGTGTCTTTCGACGTGATTGTTTATGAAATGAGAAGCAACTCATTGCACCAGTTTGCAAATAACTTGTTGCCAGCTGAAAGATAATCACCTATGCACCTATAAGAGGCTCGTACCTATTTGCTTAGTTAAATCCAGGTGGCGATTTGTTTTTTGGTCAGGCAGTGTGCTATCCAGTGTTTCCCGTGATGCAGCTGCTTCGGAGAGACAGGTAGCTCACACACCCCTACTCACCACCCACTACCCCCATGCTCAGTGTTAGCTACAGTAGGTTGACAATTTGTCATCAACTTGAGTAACTCTGTCCTCTCCTCTCACTGGCTGTCCTCTACTATTGTGCTCCACGTTCCACTCTGACCCGCCACCCGCACACTGACAACATAGCAGGGCAAGCCGAAAACAACAACAACAACAAAAAAGCAAGCTATTGCTGAATTTCTACCTGAAACGAAATCAGCTGAGGTTCTTTGCTCATCAAAGACTGTTGAGGCATCCGCTGACCATCTGTCCCTCCACAGTCCCACAAGGATTGCTACTCCTTTCATAGTACTGCTAAGCTTCTAAAGAACCTTTAACATAGTGATCACCTAATGGGTCTTCTTCTTCGTTCTACAGGCACTCAAGAATCACTCCTCCTTCCAAAGTATGTAGTGAAATGGGATTCATTTGTCCTGGATGTGAGCGTCTATGAGCTACCTTAACTTCTCAGTGGGTTTTCAGTTCCACTAGTTTGTGTAATATGGCCAACCAATTACTTTTTTATGTACTTTTAACATTACAATAACATGTGACTTGCGATGGATTATGAGCCAGATGAACAACTTTAAAATAACTCATTACTGGTCCATATGATGTCTGCTACATTCTGTAAATATGTGTATGTTCTAAAGAATAATTAACCCAATGCAAACTGTTTATAGTGCTACAGAGAATGTTGGCTGTACGCAGAAAATCAGTGCTGCAGGCCCAAAGTATTTGAACTTTCAGGAAGTGTTATTCCCAAGCAGCTGCATTTTGAGGTGGTAAAGGGATTTTCCTACAAGTAAATGAAAGCTCTCAGACACCGTGGGTAAAATTACAACACAAAAATAACATGGTTAGGTTTAGTTTACACTTAAAACATTGAGTTAGGTTACCTGGAGGTTACCTGGTTACATCAGTAAGCACATGACTACAGTGGAGGTGATGTGGTTGTGCTTACCACAGCAACAATAATATTGTTGTCTGCCTGGAGCAGGAAAGCTAATTCCCTTGTTCCAGTGTTTTGTTGATCTACTCCAGCCTTCTCCTTACCAGACGTTGACAAATTTAACATTTTCTGCTGATTTGTTGGCTATAAAAATCTATAATGAATTTATTTGGATTCTCTCCCAGCTATCTTGAACATTTAGTGTGCATATTGACATTTTACATTAAGCTTAATTTAGTCACTTCTCAGTCCTAATACATAATACACTCAATACCTCTTTTGAATAAGAATAGTGTGTTGAATTGATCTACAACCTGTAGGATGTGCTGGGCAGCTATAACACTAAAGAACTCCGATAAATGAAAAGTAGTAGAAACAGCAGGAGCATTTACGTAACGTACACTACATACAGTAAATACAGCTCTATTTCTCTCCCTCTCTATTTTTTGCTTATTCTCTATGGAAAAATAGAAGGACGTGCACAAGTGAAGACTTTTAGTGTTTAAAAGTCGGTCAGCAGCCGCCTTTACAGTTGGCATTTAGTTCTAATTATGACAAATCTGTATTTATTGCACAAACATTTACATTGCTGCTGCTGTTTGCTTTCAGTTGAAGATTAGTTCCTGGGCTGTCCCGTTGCATGCCACAACTTGTGTGTATTTGTGTGTTTTCATACTAGTGTCGCAATAAAAAGCAGGTATGCAGTGATGCAGCTGTTGTGCGATTCCTAGATATTGGCTGTACTTAAGCGAGGGCAGGGTGCACACAGTTTGACGGCTCTTTAGTTAGAGCTGAAACTAGCCTTGGATCTCCAGGTAAGAAACGCACACACGGACACACACAGCCTTACTCAAAGACACTGAGGATGGTGAGTGAAGACTGGACACTCAGGAATGGATAAGTAATGAAGGTGAAAACAACTCAGAGGGGGAATCTATCGATTGTTTGCAGGGGAAGAAGAAGAAAGAAAAGCATAGTTAGCTGCCTGTTAGACGTATTGGTCTATTTATACTTTTTTATAGAACTTTTCTTCTGTTTTTTTCTTCAAATCAAAAATCTGCTCGGCTTTTGTTTTGTTATTTTGTTTGTTTTCTGTCTCGATAAACAACTTGCTGATTTGATTGCCATGTTTATCCACTGTACACTTTTCCCCTCGTTCTCCTGGAGGTCAAAGGCACTCAGCTGCCCGATGACTGCGAGAGATGCTGGCGCTCGCTGTTGCCATAGTTACAGGTAGACTCACCTGTTGCCAACTTTTTCATTTTTATTACAAAGAGGGGAAGTGAAGGGAGCAAAAGAAATTCATAACAGGGTTGAGAAAGGCACGTACAGAAAGAAAAGCGAGGGGAGAATGATCTTAATGATGCCTTTTAAGGGCCAATTCAGTTACCGCATCTCATGTGAATATTCTGACACATAATTTAAAATAGATGCATTTATGTTGTAAGCATTCGCTGTGTGTGAGATAGTGATAAGAGATGGCTAGGCCTATGGGGAATGACTCGCTTTTGGAGCCTCCCTCAGAAAGACCATTCAAAGTATGTCTTCTTATGGATGCTTCTGCTCGATCAAATTAACACACTGTGGACAATGAGAGAGAAATATTAAGATCAGAGGTCAGGGGGATTACTAATCTTTTGGCTGCTTTGTCCCATTTATCCTGAAAAATGATGGGGCTTAATAATCCGAAATGCTTTCAGTTGTGTAAGAAATAATGACATTTTCAGTAGATGCAATACTCAAGGATGAGTCATGGTTTCATCCCTCATTACCTGAAATGTGGATGGGTGTGTTTTGCGGTGCAGTCAACATGTCTGTGTTTGAGGGGCCCCATTAATAATGTTTTTAGAAGAACTGAATCATCTCCTGTTTCAATCATAGTGAGCAATTTTAGTTGGCGACTTTATGCTTTCTTTCCTCTTTCTTTTCTTTCTCTTTCTTTCTCTTCTTCCATTATGCAGTTGTTGCATATTGATGTGTGGCTTGTTGTGCAGAAGGCAGTCAGAGAATGCTTGCAAAAACTGGCTGACAAACCAAGACATTGACTGTCTGTTTGTGTGGGTCGAGGATGTGGCTGGCAGCGGGGGTATGCAGTCAAATGATTGTAAATTCAGTGTGTGTGGGCCGGTGAGGGTACATGCCATTATTCCAGTGACAGTTTTGATTACAAGAGTGTAAATTTTTCCTATTTGTTCAAGCAACTGTATTTGACTGTTAAGAGTTATTAGGTGTGTGTGTTTATGTGTGAGGAAAAAAAAAAACTTCATCAATCAATGGTCAGACTGTTTCCTTGGCCTGGTGCACAATCTTAACACAAAGTGACCGATAAGGGAGCGAAAGCAGGGTCGGGGCTCGACTAACACAAGAAATAAACCCTTTTTCTTACCAGTATTATAGTTTAATCAGGAAATGAATGGAAAATGAAATCTGATTTTAGAAACCTGCCTTGGATGCAAAGCAGTGAAATCAGTTGTTTTTATTGGGTTTTTTCCCCTCAAAAAATGGGAAATAGGTGCAGCATAAAAGTACATAAGTGATACAGTTTATAAGGGGAAAATAGAATCTGTACAATTCTAATGAGCTTGAAAGTCAGTATTTGGTATGACTTTATTCATCAACACAGCCCGAACTTACTTAGGCAGCTTTCTTGTCATTTCTTTAAGCAGTCTTCAGAAATAGTCCTTCAGACATTCAAAGCTCTTCCTTGGATGTTGACTGTTTTTTGTTTCATTCCCTGTAAAGATGATCCCACACTGTTTCAGTAATGTTGAGGTCTGGGCTCTATGGAGGCCAGTCCATGACTGATTGTGTTATGTGTGTGTTTTTGTATACAGGTATGCTTTTACTGCATTTGCAGTAATGAAGTAATTGCCAGTCAGATACTCGGTGGATGTCAAAGTCTGTTATTTTCACAGTGGGTGTAAAAACATGAAAGATGGATTATAGTTCCTCGGTATTAATAGTAAAGTCAGTGCAGGGGCGGAGCAGCTCCTTTCTAACCTGAGAAATTAACTAACTAGTTTTTGTTTGATTCTAAGCCTCTCCTTTACTACACTCTCATATTTAGTGTAAGATTTGTCATGAGTCTGAGAATGTGGCAGTTCTGGTGAAATTACATTTTTCCTAATGAGCGTATCTTTTTAAAGAACATGTAAACATACACGACTTAAGTTGTAACTAATGGAGATGTAATTATAAGCATTCACTGATACAATAATAGTCAAGTATACATAGAACGCGTGCGCACACAAACACACACACACATAAAGAGTCAGAAGCAGCTTTCCAACTGCTGCACACAGACAGAGTGAGTGGACGTCTAAAAGCATCCCCTGACACTTTAAAATAAAATAAAAAATACTCAAACCACATCGATGGTCTGAGAATATCTGTCTGGACGAGTTCATGCATACATGTAAGTTCAGATGCACAAGCATGCCATTTGCACCCACACAGTGAAGGCGCAGAGGTGCAAAATGCAAGTCTGGAGCCCTTTTACTCCTCTGAGAAACAAACAGTCTTCTACAAGGGAAGCAGAAGATGCATTACCCTGTTCTTATCTTCCTGTTTGCAGCTTGTGTAGTTTTTATTTTTCTTTCTCTTTCTGTTATTTAATGAGTCCTTTATTCTATACTTACTGTCTTGTATTCTTGGAATAAATTCATTCATTTGTATCATTATTTTGGCATTTGACTCAAATACAATGCATATGCTTAGGTTAATTTGAGTTAATGGTAATCAAAATTTTTTGTGCATGTGTCCTGTCTGCAGACGACATCCCTTATCAGCGAGACCCGACTCCTCCTCCTCCTCCCTGCTTGTCCTCCAAATCAAACGCTCTGTCACAGGACCACAGGAAAAGCCACATCCCAGAGGAATTTGCAGGCCTGCTTCATGGATCTTCTCCAGCCTGTGAACCCCCCGATACACCTTACCACCTTTACAGCCCCAAATCCTTTAAAAATACAGATGTCCAGAGCAACTTTCTGCAGACCCCGGAGTTCAGCATTGTGATCGGCGGAGGAGCCAGTCAGGTCTTCTCCCGGCCAGGGAGTGAGTCATACTCTCAGAGCTTAGCCAACGACACTCGAAAGCCACAGGTTGTGTACCGGACTATCTTCCACACCAAGGTCAACCAGGACCAGGCTCAACCCAGAAACTGTGAACAGGTAGATCTGCCTCGTGGATGGTCTACCCTGAGCCACCCACCCTCTTGTTCCTCTGGTCAAAACGGAGAAGTTGCAGATTTACGGGGAAGCCAGACAGGAGCGACATCCAAAGACAGTTCACCTGGGATTGGCTACGAGGAAAGGGCTTGCACCCTTGGGAGGATGAGGTCCATGCCACGCAGTGTGTTGGACCTGCAGCTTTCGAAATCTCTTTCCAAGTCTGATTCTAACCTAGTGGCAGTGTCTCCCATACAGGTAAGTTCTTGCTACCTTAAAAGTGTCATTCTCTATGCAGCCAGAGCACTAAAAAGAACATGAATTCTGCGATTTAGATTAATAAGAGGTATTAACAAGAGTCTTTCTTATTAAGTGTTTCTGAGAATTCATTTGGCATCATAAGTAAAACTTCACTCTTTTTAAACGCCTGCACAAGCAAAGAAGTCTCCAGTATTGTTGTACTGAGCACAAATGCAAATATCGTAAATATTCACTTATATAAAAATAATTTGCATCTTGCTGTGTCATGTGACTTCATAAACAGAGCAGAAACCAGTCCAGCCAATTGGATAACTCATCAATCTGGGTCACAATGTTCTCTGCCGCAGCACATTTTATGAGACTTCTGTAATTCATTGTAAATAAATCATGAGCTAAATACATAATCTGTTTGATGAAAATAGTGCCATTACAGCTGAAAGTTTGATGAGCACTGAACGGACTTATTTTCAGTTTTAGTTGTTCATATTTTTAAGGTTAAATATTTGGCAACTTTTGTTTTGCATCTCGTATTTGTGCAGTAATTAAGCACAAAGGGTTTTATTTTGTTTTGTTTTTTCTTACAGGAAGAGCACAGCTGGGGGTCCGGATCACGGGGCCAGGGCCCTGGAAGTCCGAGCCCACGTGAAGGCGCCAGCCCGGAGGGGAGATTGGAGAGAACGCCGTCTTTCACTGCTGAGTGGGAAGAGGTAAGAAGACAGTTTTCCTGACATGCACAGCTTATCACCCAACATTTAGCATCAGTTGCAACATTAAAGAAGAAGCCAAGTTGTCAGCGCCTCTGCTCTGACACTGCATTTATTTTGGTCAAGTGAACCGTCTCAGCAGGAAACAGTTGAAAACTCCGCACCCACAGCAGTAAGCTGCTTCAGTTTTTCCTCCTTTTGAAATACACTCGGCTACTACAGTGCAGAAGGAGCCCAAGTGCTAATTTAACATGCTCACATATTGATTTTGTTCTGTAACCAGCAATGAAGCTGCGGGGAAGACCCACGTATCTGAGAGAAGGCAGTTTCTAGTTTCTATTAAAGAGATGCGGTCCAGGGTGCTGCGTGCTTTGGTCTTGGTGTGTTTGTGCCCGGGGTTCTTTCAATATTAAAGGGTCTCTGACACAGATGTGATATATTGACTGGACACCACTGTTTGGATCCTTATAACCATTTGGGGTCACAGACACATTGACTTCCGCTCACTCTTCACGCCTCAGAAAAAAAGCACTCGTTGCACCCTGACACACCCAGAAAATGAAAAGCAAGTTCCATCACACGTAATCATGGGGATGCCTTAATTAGTCTCTCTATTTTTAAAGTAACTCTAATGCATGTCAGTGGAAGTCCATTTGTGCGTGCCTTTCCACATTTGCATGCACATGTTCATTAATTCCTCCACGCAGCTCATGACTTCCTGATGATGATGAATTGCCATATGGAATTTTCCACAGTTCTCATATTTCTTTTTCTGGATAATTGCATGCTGCGTGAGGAAGAGATAAGGTTAGATTGGCCCCGGGGAAATTTAAGGTTGGTAAACAGGGATTTCAGAGGAAAAAATAACAAAGCTGCTCTATATCTATCACATGCTCAGGAAAGTGTTGCATTATTGAGACGAGAGAAGTGGCAAGGGACATTCCATAACAGTCAGTGATTTGAAGATCATTCTCTTTAGTGCAACAAGCTGAAAGGTAGTCCAATATGCTGGTTTATACAAAAAATATGGTTATTTGGGGGGTTCTTCTTGGTCAAAATCTAAACTCAAGTGACCCAGATTAGTCTCTTAATCTGAGCCTGGCACATGAAACATGGGTTGCATTAGTTTTATTTTGTAGGGGAGCTAAAATGTCAAGCTTAAATACTCCAGAGATCTGCTGTAGATCTAGTAAATGCATCTGATCATATTTGGAATTAGGACCTGCAAACTATTTGACATTTCTTCAAAGGTAACCATTCTATCCCTGCTTTGAATGACTGTGCATTGTTATGGTAGATCTGCTAGAACTTGCATTGTGCAGATGATATTGATGAACTTGCAAGAAAAGATGCTGGAACATCTTGATAAAGCATTGCCCCAGCTCATAACCAACAATATCCAAGGTATCAATTTAGATTTCAAAGTCAGTGGGACAAGACAGGAAATGGTGAAAACCTTCAAGTATCTTGGTTGCATGATATTAGATAAAGGCTTAAAACTTGAGATTTTGGTAAAGACAGCAGCTGAAATACCAAAATTTAAGACCACCAGCTAAGTTTACACTTTTTTGTTCCTACCACCTTATTTCTAATTCCAACGTTCAGAGTTCGACATGTCATCACACAATATACATGTTTAACTATATACAAGTCTACACTCATATACAATATAGACATAAAACAATTTAAGTTCACAAACCAAAACAACAAACTGCACTTTTACATTGGCTAAACACCCTGTGATTATCTGTATGTGCTCCAAAATTCACCTGCTGTGCTTCCTGTTGTCTACCTTTCTGTACGCCTGTGAAAAATGGACCCTCATGACAGGACTCCAAAGACCTATTCTGGCATTACCGATAATATAGTCCATGACTGATGTGTTATATAATATAGTGTCAAATTTGAATTGGTCCATCACCCAGTGATCTTCTTCTTTGTTGTTTAACGATGATTCAAAACATCTCAGGCGCTTCTGTGCAGATTGGCTTTGATGTCTTGATACTGGGGTGGATGAATGGATTCGACTTGACCCAAACCAACTGCTTTTAGACTTTTTAGACTTACAGATGTGATCTCCTTGCCAATAAACTGCATTTAAATAGTTGTAGTTGTGCACGTCATTTTTTTTTTTTTAAATAATGTATCATTAACAGCATTTTCGATTCATTAGCTTTACTTTACTTCAAAATAAAGTTGTTTAGAAAAATGTCACATCAGCTTTAAATCAGCTTTAAATCTACCACTCTGAGTCTTGATTTATTGCTTGCATTTGCATTGGTGCTTGGTGTGTAGTGACATATGCAGAAATTACTTTCAGTTTATCCTATTACAAAGACCACCTTCATGGTCTGTCAGCTTGTAAACAGCATTTGAATTTGTCAGACCTGACTCCTTAAACACTCGGGTTTCTCTGACCTCTGAGCCAGCGGTGCTGAAATGTAGATGGATGTGCAGGTTGCATAGTTAAGTGGTTATCAGCAGGTCCAGGGTTGAGGATGATCATTTTACTGCTGGTAGTCAGACACTAATGAAGCCACACTAGCTCTCTCCAATCCAACCTTCTCCTTTCATCTCTGCTCTGGTGTCTTTAAATTTCCCGTTCCTCCAATTCACAGGGGGAATGACTGGCATTGAGCATGCAGGCTGGCGTAATGATCATGCTACGTGACACTCGGATCTAGAAATAGGGGTTAGCCTTATTACTGGGAAATGACTTTTCCTTGCACACGCTGTACATCTCTCTAACTGAGATTCTCCCTCACTCTCTTTCTCTGATCTGATCAGATTGACAAGATTATGAGCTCCATTGGGGCAGGAATAAGCAGTGGATTGGACATTAAGGATGGTACCTCAGGTAAGCACGCGCATGTATGAGTGAGTGTTTGTGAATCTGACTTTAAGGGCAAGTCGTATCAATTAAATTTTTAGTCATATGCTCATATGTTGGGCACCATTTTTCCATAGTATGATAGTATTGCACTTAACATAGCAGTTGCTGAGTAATTAAGAGATTATGACAAGTTAGAATCTGAGTTTTGTTACTACCAAAGCTTGGGTAATGAGATAAATTAGCAGTGTTGGAGTGTTACTCACACATAACTTGATACTTTAAAAAATTTACTTACTAATTTGCTTAATTACTTCTGAGAATGGAATTTCTTATGCTATTCATTACCTTACTTTTGTGTTATTCTTTAATACGCCCTCTAATGCATTTCCATAGTCCCATACACCGACACAAATCCCTACCCTACAGTAATAAGGACACACAATCTTTCTTTTGAACAGAACGCCAACAACACAAAGCAATGCTGCTTTGAAGAGTGCCTCTTGAAGTTCAGGCTCTGGCTGCCGGACTGGGTTCAGCATACAGTCAGTTCTTTGCTAGCTTTGTGTCAACGTTATGATGCAGTATGGACACAGTTTGCACTTTACCATCATGCTCTGGTGCTTTCTCTGTTGCTGTGGTAAAAATATACTCACAGCCTGCTGGATAGGTCTTTGCCTCAGTTTTTGCCAGCAAATTTCCAGTGTTTTGCTAATATGCTATTAAGCACTAATTAGCAGGTATGTGTATTTGTGTTGCCCATCTACAGTGAATCACTGCAGATTGCTAACAAAGCTTGTTAACAGGTACTTAGAACCCCACTTTCACTTTGGGTTCCAAAAAAACACAAAATGTGTATGATTTAAGTTAGTGCTTCAAAAACCAAAGAGTGGCTACACCCATCATGGATATATGGTCTATACTGTGTGTGCTTTTAACAGGAAATGTTTGCAAAATAATGTGCTGTACCCCCTGGTGGTAAAGTGCCATTCACACAACATTATACTGTGCATAGATCTTTTAGAAAAAGGTTTCTTTAAGCTTATTGATCGCATTAAAAACACATTATTTGTAATTGAAATAATGGGTGTTAATGATGAATTAGCAAGTGCCACAGATCTTATAGGAGCTCAGCTCTTACTGGGTCCGACATAACTTGAACTGAGGCATTGACCCTGTCAGCTAGACCCATTATAGGAAACAAAAGAGAGACCCCACATGTGGTAAATTTTGAAATAATGGGGGGAAAGCGACAGCATAGCAGTTCAGATAAGAAGTCACTTAAAATAGTAATGTTAAACTTGCATTTTTTAAAAAAAATTACTATCTTTTTGGATTTGTAAAATCTATATAGGTTGTATATAGAATATTAGATAGAGGTGGAGTTGCAAGGAAATACTAAAATTTGAATAATTGATTTCCTGTTTTATTTTCAGCTAAGAAGCTTTTTTATATTGTTGATAGAAATGGTGGCCAAAACTATGAAATTAAGACTGCCGTTGTTAATTTAAGAATTTATCTGATTAGTATGTGGGTGGTTTTGTAAGTGATCTTGTGTGGTTCTTACAGGAAAAATAGAACTTTTTTTCTGCACAGAAAAGCACTGTTTTTGCCAGTTTCCTCACCTGCATACCTTGAAGTCTCCACTAGTCATCTCTGTTTACTGCATTCATCCCCCTTTCCCTGTATTAAGTCCCCCATCCTCCACCTCCTGATCCTCTCTCTCTCTCTCTTTTCATCTGTGAATGCAAAGCTGCTTTTATCCATGGTTACCACAGAGAGAAATCCAGTTTATGCCACACCAGTTCTTCCCACCAACAACATATACAAAGCACCGCGCGCACACACGCACACACAGACGTGTGTGTATATTTATGGCCACATGGATACAGTCAGCATGGTGCTGGTATGAGCGGTCGGCAGCTCAGCTCGCAGACAAAGGAGCTGAAGATGTTGCAAGGACTATTATCAGCAGTGCGAGCCAGATATATGTAGAGCAGCAGAGAGAGAGCAGGGTGATGATCGACACTGAGAGAAGACGGAGACTGGAGGTAGACAGGGGAAAGTGAGCGAGGGAGAGAGAGAGCGAGCGAGCGAGACTGAGAGAGTGAGGGAACGAAGGAGGGAAAGCAGTGCGCTCAGAAAAGAGAGAGAGACAGAGAGAGAGGAGGCTGCAGAAGCATACAGATGAGAGTGGGAGTACTTGATAAAGAGAAATCTACAACGCGGGCAGCTCTCTCTCTTTTTCTCTCTCTGAAACACACACACACACACACACACACACATTTGCGTGCACACACACACACACACAAGCTCCGGGGAGCAGCCAAGCGAGCGCAACAGCTGAAAAGAAGCTGCTGCTGTGCTGTGCACGACAAACACACAGTCGATTTTGCTTGCGGATCTATACCTCCAGTCTTATCCATCACCCATTTCTGGCAGGATTTAACCTCCATGACAGAAGCTTTTTTCTGGATACAACTTCAGCACTCAGCCCCTTCCCATCTTTCCTCCAGCTGGATTCAGAGAAAGAAGCGTCTGGACGTCTTAACCTCCACTTTTACCTGCTTGCACCCTTGCATGCTGACCCCCTTCATACTCACCATGCCCCTTGCCTAGCCTCCTTTTCTTCCCCCCTTTCCCCCCTCTACCTGCCCTCCCTTCATCTTTGTTGTCTTGCTGCCTTGCCAAAAGACTCTTCAAAAGCATGGCGGGCTCCTTCGACAGCCACTTTGCCCGCCACAACATGATGTGGCAGTGCCAGCTGTCTCAGCCAGACTGCCGCTGCTACCGCGTGGATGGCTACTCCCTACTGAAACGTTTGCCCCTCCACCCCCTTATAGGTCCCCGCTGCCCGCTGCAGTCTGTGGGCCAGTGGCTAGACTCCATCGGCCTGGTCCAGTACGAGAACCACCTGCTGGCCAATGGATTTGACAACGTCCAGTTTATGGTGAGTGTTTTCATTGTGTTTTGAGGGAAAAGAAAGCTTCTTCAAGCTTTCTCTGCTCCTCGAGCTCATCATGTCATCGATTTCTGTGCAGGGATTTGCATGACCAGCACGTTTCCTCCGTCACTCTGATTTTTTTTAGTTTGAATTTCCCCTTTTTTTGTATCATCTTCTCTCTTTCTTTCATTCTTCCCTTCCCATCATTACTGCCTCTCCCATCTGATGCCATGTGAGGTCCTCCTACGCACAGAAATCCTACACCACATTTCTGCCACAGCAAAAAATCCAGCTCCAGCATCATGCTGCACACATACGTGCTCATGCTGCAATAAAAATGCATGCTGAAATCACAGTTGTTTTACGGTTTTTGCATGCATCCGCTTGCACACAGAGGAAAAACTGTGCACACAACCACCTGTAGCCTGCGGATCGGGATCCAAACTGATGGTCTCCTCTAGTTTATGCAATCTCTTCTTAAGCAGTGACGTAGGAAGAGAAACTCGCTAGGTCATTTTGGACATTCTTTTGATGTTGCATGTGTGTGTTAGTGGGAAAGATATCCACGGAAGAGGGAGGGATGAGCAGGAAAGTAGGAAATCAAAACAAGGAGAGAAAGCAGTAGAGAAGCGATGACGCTCGATCAAGAAAAACTGCAGCAGAAGCAGAAAGATGGGAGACAAAGCAGAGAGATGCTGACTGGATGACTTCCTCTTCAGTTGGAGATTATTATTACTAATAATCTCCAACTGAAGGGGGAGCGATATCTCAAAAATGGCAGATATAAAGGGGTTCGAGGGTTTATCCAGTTCTCTAATTCTGGTTGACTTACAGCCTCTTATTTTCTCCTGACTTCTTGACATCCAGAAGAGAGAATGCAGATAAATGTTGATGTTTCTGACATCAGGTCAATCGCCAGGGTATGCATGGATCACCATAAGTATTTATGGATGCATGTAAGCCTGTGTGAGCGTTCTGGTCCTACATTCAGTGTGACCTGCATCTGTTCCTTTAGTTACCCTGGCAACAGGATGAAATCACACCATCTCTCTGTTGTGTGTTTCTCCCACACGTGGTCACAGTTTATCTTGTGGTTAAAGTATTTAATACAGATGAAACGGTTTTGAAGAAGCAGTAGGTGTATCTGGGCCGTCTAAGATAAAGAATTAAACATGGTGATAATTGCAGCGCACTGTCTTCAAAATGTACAATTCTACCCATTAGAGAGAACATAAGTTTCCCCTTTTTTCTGAGTCAGTTTTATTTGTATAGCACTAGTTCACAACAACAGTTGGCTCAATGAATGTTGCACTGTGAGGTAAAGACTCAACAATGTTAGAAAGAGACCCTCAAAAATCAGGTGCTCTATAAGCAGGGAGGAAGAACTTCATTTTAGCAGGAAGAGACCTTTTGCAGAACGAGTCTAAAAGAGGGGCAGTCATCTGCTGTGACCAGTTTAGCTATGAGGCCTAAGTTGTTCGTAGTCTTTCTATGCTCCTCTTTTGAAAATGCAGGAGAAAGGAGGCATAATCAAAGTGATAGACATATAAACCCATGCCGAGTGGAAAAAAAGTCCGTAATTGGAGGTCCCCTAGCAGTCTTAATACATAGCAACATATCTATGGCATGGTTCAGGGTCGACAGAGCATCCTTAAGTATAGGATTGATCAAAAAGTAGTTTTCAGCATCACAAGTAGAAATGGTGCTCATCTCCTGAACCCACTGCACGGGAGCCAGATAACTGAAGGCTTGGTCTTCCTAAAAACCATGAGTAAGCCTATGCTCTGAGGATGAAGTACAATATCGGGATGGAGAAAGACAGAAATTCCTGATTTTCTTAAGCTGGTAACTGTTGAGAGCACATGCGGTTTTAGAGAACTTCTTGGTCTTAGTTTGATCTAGTTAGCCATTCTCAAAAGTCAGCCCAAGTTGCAAGTTAAAACCTGGAGCACCTTCATGGTTACTGTGTCAGGGTGGCTGAAACGGTACCATTCTTGCCTTGTGTACTTAAGGGATGCATCAACGCAGTGATGATGGCAAGATAGCAGATATTTCCTAATAAAGCTCAACATATAAAGCATACTTGAATTTTTTATTGGCATACAGATTCATTCAGAAGCATTATCTCAAACTATCTTTTAATAAGATATTTATCTAAAACCAACCTACCATCTGGAGTTTCAGCACAACTTCTAATTTTAATTGGAAATTTATATAAATCCATTTTCTCATAATGAATCGAGTTTCATGGGTGTCTGCAGAACATTACATTATTTTTCTGTTTACATCCTCCTTTGGTAAGTTAATGAGCAGAAGGTAGGAGTCACTGCAGCAGCTGTTAGTGTCCAGGCAACTGTTAACGTCACACATAGGCTGTTCACAGCTTTTTGTTTTGTTTTTTTGAACTCACATGTATTTTTTAAGCCCGTGGCTGTGCACCACCGTTTATGGATTACTCTCGTGTGGACCTAGTTTATTGTCAATAACATTGTTTCTGAGAGACTCTGGGATTATCTGTTTTCCTGGCTTTACTCCCTCCATCCCATCACCCCTCTTTAAAAACGTATTCTCAATAGCTCAACCGTCTCCTCTGAAACGCCTTTAGATACAATTAATATTGAAAAGAGATGAAGCTGCCTCGCAAACATCAGAGTAACTTCAAAGTCTCTTTTTCTAAGTGGTGCTTTTCTCCGGGTGTTAAAGTTTCGCTGGTGTCCCCCATGCTGAGTAGAGTTTGTAACTCCTTTTATGCTTTTTAACGGTCTTGACTAAACAAGAAGGCTGCTAATATTTTTCAACCTAAAGGGGGAAAAAATCAGTGTCCACCACAAATTGATATTAATGCGATTTAGGCACAGGCTTACAGGCATTGTGTTGGGCGAGAGCAGCTCTTTTTTATTGTTGACTGGCTTCTTGAACGAGAGCTTTGTGCCACATTCATTTCACTCAGTATGGGAAATCGAGTGGCGTGGATGATTCAAACCACGACTCTGCTTATTACAAAATAAAAGCTTTTTTCCCCCCTTCCCGTTTCAAGGCCAGTTCATTTGTACAGCTGATTGGTTTGCAAATTAATTTGCCCTCGAGTTTGATCTGCGTCAGTGCATAACTGTGAAAGGCCCCATGTGGCGTGCAAGAATATATACATCTATATAGACATGAATACTGTTTAAGTATGGGCCTTCCAATCTGCCATTATCGTTTACTGCTAATAGGAGTCATAAGTGTGGGTGTGTCCGGGCACCTTAACCACCCAGTAGAGGACGAGTGCTGCCGGATTGATGGACAAATGGCGAGGAGTAGAACGGTTGTTATGGACACAGAATTTCATACGAAGGACACTGGATAGAGGCTAATCACATCCACTTCAGTGACCGTTCATGTATGGAAAATTTAAAGACAGAGAGACATGCAAGAGCACGGACACAGACAGACAGAGGCTGACTCACGTTAGCTGTTTCTGTTTGGATCCAAACAGGCCCTCATGTCTTGTCTTGCACTTTGACTTGCTGAATGAGCTACTAAGCGATTCTTCATTAAGATATTTGTTGGTAGCTTAACCTCTTACGCTCGCTATCGCCTGTCGTAAAATCTTCTTCAGTGTTTGTTTGGGTTTTTTTTATTAAAACAATGCATTACTTATTTAATTCCTGTATACTTGACACTACCTTTGTGGTATTCTGCAGCTTAATAAACATTAAGCCTTACTGTATATATGTCCACGTATCAGTACAAATTCCCATTCTAATTTAAAGGACATACCCTAAACCTTTGTTTCATTATTGAAGGATTAGAGCAAACAGTAAAGTTGTCAGGAAAACACACCCCAAAGTTCACTTCATATGATGCAATAAATGATCCTACAAGACTGTTCATCTCTAGTTTGTTAATGCGAAAAATCTCTTATGTTAGCGAGCTGCAATAGCAGGAGCTTTACAGAGGTTTCATAGTGCTTGCAACCTGCATAGTTTTCTATCTTTACGCTTACATTCATGTCCTTTCTTGCATATCATCTCTTGTGAAAAGTTGCAGATTACTCTGGTGTTTTTGTCCTTTTTATTATTGGGGCAATTGCACCATTTCTTTCTTTCTAACTCTCGATCATTTAGAAAATTAAAGGACTTCTGTAATGCAAGAGTACAGTAACATGATCACAGAAGGAAGGATCACATCCAGAGGGAGTTTTGAAAGAATGTTGGAAAGCAATGACAAAACGGTCAAATAGAGAGTAAATAATGTTTTTACAACAATGAACCATTTATTAAACCTTGTGCTAAAAATTCTCAGCTGGAACTGTACCAAATTTCATGCGACAGAAACTAAGCACAACACATGCTGCATCTGCTGTAGTCCTAGCAGCATGCGGTGGCCTCTTCCATGAATGTGCTACACTTCAAAAAATAGTGCTGGTTGCATTTTTCATAACAGATACTGGACCCTGGTACAGGCGGCAGACAGGGTGTAACAAGAGCATATATTTGAATAGATTTTCAGATAGTGGCCACCTGGCAAATGTATGTAGTCACTCTCTGTTTACCTCCTCCTCCACCCTTTTTTAAAAGAGTTTTTTTTAGGTGCTCATCTGCATACATTATCCAGTTGCTTTTTTGCCGCTTGGCAGGTAATGTACAGCGGGTGTTTCTGGGCTATCTCACAAAAAATAGCCGCCTCCCGGGTCTGAAAGTTATGCCGATGAGTGCAGGGAACCTAAATGGTCAAGATGTGTGCTGTGAAACTAAAACAAGGAGACAAAGGACGATAAAATGCTTCATAAAACTGAAGGGCACTGGAGAGTCTGTGATATTACCGCTCCCTAGTTGTTCATCATGGCGAGCAGCAGCCTTTCATATGTTTTCTAAGATGCAAATGCATCTAGTGAGAGGAGAATTGAAAGCAAAGCTACGTCATATTTATGGGATCACTGGAGCGAGAAGCTCATTCTTCTTGTTTAGCCCTCTAACTGCAGTCACATTGTCCCAGCTAATACTCATTACAATCAAACCCAC